GATCCTGGCAGTAAGTGCCCCATGGCGGGTCTAGGAGAGGCGGGTGTTGCTCTGAGTACCGTGGCCCCACCCTGTTAGCCCCCTTCCCTGCTGTCTGCCGGGCACCGACGTCTCCTCCGCGGCTCCCCCAGGCCCAGCAGGTCCGTGCCTGAGACGGATTCCACGGGACATGGTGAACCATGTCCTTCCTGCAAGGTGGTATCATCCAGTGCCCACCCAGGGCACTGGGGACTGGAGGTACAAGGACGGATGGATTCTGCCCTTTGGAGAGCCCTCTGCCAGAGGGGTCCCCAAACAGCCTTCTTCAGCTCTGAGTCTTATAAATTGAGGCAAAATGACTCTTTCGTCCTCTCTGACTTCTTCAGAACTCAGATGGGACGTGGGGCTGCCAGGAGACCATCTGAGGGGTAGAATCTTCTCCCCCCACTGAGAATAAAGGCTTGTTTGGGGTGTTGAGTTCAATGAGTTCATTGTACCTGGGTCTCCTCCTTCCCTCAAAACATGTGTTCCTTTAAAACACACAAAGTACTCTCGGTCCTCAGCAGGTGACACTTCGGCGGGCGATTTCCCCCCCATCGTTCACCAGATATGCCCAGTACCTCGTGGAGGACACAGCTGGGCTCACCTGGGATCACCACTTCATATGGGAATTGAAGGCAGATCCTGTTGGGAAGAGGAGAGACTGAATTATTTCACTTAAAATTTTTTAAGGAGGCAATACGTTTACATGATAATGAAGTTCCAAAGGCACACAAGGGTATCCTGTGAAAAGTCTCCTTACCAACCGTGTCCTCCGCCAGTCAAGTGAACCTCTTGGTGTATCCAAGTAAGAATGTATCTATATATTCTCCCATCTTTTTAAAAATGGAAATGGTAGCATACTATATACCCTGTTCTGCACTGTGCTTTTAAAAATCCGATGTCAGAAGGGCTCCTGGGTGGTGCAGTTGATTGAGCGTCTGACTCTTGGTGTCAGCACAGGTTGTGATCTTGGGGTCGTGAGATCAAGCCCCACATTAGGCTCTGTGCTCAGTGTGGAATTTGCTTGAGATTCTCTCTCCCCCTACCCCTCCCACTCGTTCTCTCTCTCTCTCTTAAATAAATAAGTCTTTAAAAATAATATCCCGGGCGCCTGGGTGGCTCAGTTTGTTAAGCGACTGCCGTTGGCTCAGGTCATGATCCCAGGGTCCTGGGATCGAGTCCCACATCGGGCTCCCGGCTCAGCGGGGAGCCTGCTTCTCCCTCTGACCCTCTCCTCTCTCATGCTGTTTCTCTCTCGCTCGCTCTCCAATAAATAAATAAAGTCTTTAAAAAAATAATATCCCATGTCCCAAATGAAACCTCCTCATCCATTTCACAGTGACAGAGTATATTCCATTATGTGAATATACCATGGTTAGATCTAACTGGTCCCTATAGGTGGAACTTTTTTCTAGAACATTTTTCTAGTCTCCAGCTAACACAAACCCTACCACAACAGACCACTTGTAAATATGCACCTCATTTCAGATACGGGCAGGTATATCTCTATGGTCAAGTCCCAGGGCGAGATTATGGGTCAGAGGTTAAATTAAAAACTTTCTCCCCACAAGAGTTGTGCCATTTTGCATTCATATGATTGAGTGGACAAGAGTCCCCTTTTCTTTCTACCGCTTCATCAACAGAATGTTTTCAGACTTCTGGGTTTTGTGAAAGCCTGTAGGTAAGGGGTGCGTTCCCAGCACACTGTGTGGGAGGGTGGGCAGAGAGAGGGACACACTGGGAACCTGTAGGTGTCCAGAGCTCTGCTTGACACATAGCAGCAGATGCCCAACAATGTCATTTAGTAAAAGCAAAAAAAAAAAAAAAAAAGTCCACCAGCTTTTCATTTTCTTTAAGATTTTTATTTACTCATTTGAAAGATTGAGACAGAGCGACAGAGAGCACAAGCCAGGAGGAGAGGGAGAAGCAGGCTCCTCGCCAAGCAGGGAGCCCAAAGCGGGGATCAATCCCAGGACCCTGGGATCATGACCTGAGCCGAAGGCAGACACCCAACTGGCTGAGCCACCCAGGTGCCCTGGCTTTTCATTTTTTTGCTTGGAGTGTATTTTTTTTTTTTAAAGATTTTATTTATTTATTTGAGACAGAGAGAATGAGAGAGAGAGCACATGAGAGGGGGGAGGGTCAGAGGGAGAAGCAGACTCCCTGCCTAGCAGGGAGCCCGACATGGGACTCGATCCCGGGACTCCAGGATCATGACCTGAGCCGAAGGCAGACGCTTAACCGACTGGGCCACCCAGGCGTCCCGGAGTGTAATTTTTAATAACAGTAAAATTGACTTCATTTGGGGCGTGCGGTTCTACAGATTTTAACACCTGTATAGACTGCAGTAAGCATGCACATAACATGGAACAAATTCACCCCCCAAAATACCCTCCCCCACCCCTCGACCCTGGCAACCACTGACCTGTTCTCTGTCACTACAGTTCCATCTTCTGGAGAATGTCATATAAATAGAGCCAAACAGTGTGTAACCCTCGGAGAGCGGCTGTTCCCCTTCAGCATGATTTCCTGGAGATTTCCTCCACGCTCTTGTATGCGTCAGTAGTTTGTTGCTTTTTTATGGCTGGGAAATATTCCTTCCTATGAATGCAGCACAGCTTGTTTACCCATTCACCCACTGAATGACTTTGGGGTTGTTTCCAGTTTGGGGGGGATTATAAGTAGAACTGCTGTCCACATTCATGTACGGACTTTTAGGTGAACGTAACTTCTCATTTCTCCTCAGCCTAGTTTAATTTCCACTTATGAGTAAGTTTCCGTATATTTGTGTATGTCCAAGAGGCATTCCTATTTCCTTTTCTGTAAACTTCTCCTTCCCCTTCACTCCTGTCTCTTTTTGGTTGTTGGTCATTATTCTCTTAGACAAGTTGGTTTGGGGGGCCGTCCGTACGTCTGGGTGACAGCGTCCAGCGTCGAGTTAAGAAACGTGGGGCTAAAGTGTGAGAGAGACATGGGAAGACCCAAACTTGAGAGCCCCCCTGAGAGGACAGACAGGAAGCCATGGCGCCACACAAACTCTCTGAGGGAGAAAACGCACACGGCCAGAAGACAGGGTCTGTGGAAATGCCTGTGTTTAGGATGTGGAAAGAGGAGGAAGCTCGAAAGGAGGAAACCAAGAAAGAGACTTCTCTAGAGTCAGGACGGTGCAGGGTGACGTCAGTAAAAGCTGAACACCGGAGGCCTGCTAAGTAACCACAGGGTACCATGTTCAGAAGAAGAAAGAACATCTCTTTCCAAGAATTCTCAGCCAAAATGAATTCTAGAAAAAGTGGAAGGCAACATGCCAAAATATAGACAGGGTTGACCCTAGGTGGTAAAAATAAGGATCTATTTTTATTTCTTATACTTTTCCCTGGTTTTCAGATTTTCTGTAATGCCTATGTAGTGCTTTTTTTGGTGCTTTTCAGATTTTCCAATGCACTGGGGGAAATATTTTAATTTTTCAATGGTAAACTTTCAAAATAAACCATGTGAAACTTTGTAGCAAAACCTCAGCAAGCCCCTCATTCTCTGACTTGATGTACTCCTCTATTCATTACAGTGAGACTTCACCTTCTGATGAATTTTGCAGTGAGAACACTAAGGGAAGGAGAAAATGGATGACATTAAGGAGTTAAAGATATATATCTTTATTTTATTTTTTTAGAGAGGGAGGAAGGGGCAGAGGGAGAGAGAGAATCTCAAGCAAGGCTCCATGTCCAGCACAAGGCTTGATCTCATGACCCGGAGATCGTGACCTGAGCCGAAATCAAGTCAGATGCTTAACTGACTGAGCCACCCAGGCGCCCCAGGATATTGAAGATACTTTAAATAGGCACTTAAGGAAGGAATGGAGGGATGGGGGGGTGTGGAAGAGAAAGGGAGGAACAGAAGAAAGAAGACCACAATCTAAAATGTCTTAAAGAAGGGATCAGTGAAGACAAGCATGGTACATCCGCTCACGGAAATGGTCTGCGTGCGGTTTGAAATTCCGTCTCTGAAGACGGAGCCAAGACAGGTGGAGCTCTGGCACCAGCCCACCCAGAATGTCTTCTCAAACCACCCCAAATAAATGTACCTTAGAAGGGACAGCAGCAGCTGGGGTGTGCACGGGGTGCCCCCAGCAGCTAACTCCCACCCCCCGCCAGCCTGCAGCCCCGACCTGCCAAGAAAGGATGATGTCACCCCTGAAAGATGATGACAACACTTGCTACCTAATGTTAAATCAAAATGATAGAAGATGGGGGAAAATGGGATTAGAGCTGCCCACTAAGAAAACATGGAATATATAATCCACAGGACAGAAAGGAAAACTAGAAAATTACACAACGTGGGGGCGCCTGGGTGGCTCAGTTGGTTAAGCGACTGCCTTCGGCTCAGGTCATGATCCTGGAGTCCCGGGATCGAGTCCCGCATCGGGCTCCCTGCTCGGCGGGGAGTCTGCTTCTCCCTCTGACCCTCCTCCCTCTCATGCTCTCTGTCTCATTCTCTCTCTCAAATAAATAAATAAAATCTTTAAAAAAAAAAAAAAAGATTCCTCTCTTACTGATCCATTCACTGCAATATTCTTTTAAGAAGTGACTTATCCTTGGACGCCTGGGTGGCTCAGTTGGTTAAGCGACTGCCTTCGGCTCAGGTCATGATCCTGGAGTCCCGGGATCGGGTCCCGCATCGGGCTCCCTGCTCAGCGGGGAGTCTGCTTCTCCCTCTGACCTTCCTCCCTCTCATGCTCTCTGTCTCTCATTCTCTCTCTCACAAATAAAAAAAAAAAAAAAGAAAATTACACAAGGTGAATGGCACGGCTGTTTTTCCTACTCTCAAATCTCTTTGCAGCTTTACACCTTTCAAAGCAATGCCAGATAGAGCGATGCCAAAATTGTACTTTCAATGTCAAACCGGCCGTACTTGACTCACAGTTCTGCCCCTTCCCCGGGGAGGCGCTCACCGGCTTACATCCTTCTCTTTCCTCCTTCCCGCAGGACGTGCTGGGTGGCATCCTGGTCACTGCGGTCCTCATCGTCCTCACCTACCCGGCCTGGACGCTTATCGACCGCCTGGACTCGGCCAGCCCCCTCTTCCCCGTGTGCGTCATCGTGGTGCCCTTCCTCCTGTGTTACCACTACCCCGTGTCTGACTGCTACAGTCCAACCAGGGCCGACACGACCACCATCCTGGCCGCAGGGGCGGGGGTGAGCCTCGGGTTCTGGGTCAATCACTTCTTCCAGCTCGCGTCCGCGCCCACCGAGCCTCTCCCTGTCGTCCGGGACATCCCGCCGCTCACCACCGGCATGTTGGTCGTGGGGCTGACCAAATTTACCGTGGGCATCGTGTTGATCCTTCTAGTGCGCCAGCTGGTGCAAAACCTCTCCCTGCAAGTGCTCTACTCGTGGTTCAAGGTGGTCACCAGGAACAAGGAGGCCAGGCGGAGACTAGAGATCGAAGTGCCTTACAAGTTCGTCACCTACACGTCCGTGGGCCTCTGTGCTACGACCTTTGTGCCAATGCTACACAGGTTTTTGGGGCTGCTCTGAACCCCAAAGGAGCTGGAGGGCAGCCCCCTGCACGAGGGAGCCCAAACACGAATGGGGTGGGGTGGGCAGGTGTTGACAATACATTTTCCTTAAAAAAAAAAAAATCCTTAAGCCACGTGTCTGTGCTGCTGAGAGCAGAGGTCAGTGCTGCCACTGCGGGGAAGGACATGCTGTCTCATAGGGACATCAGTCCGTAAGCGTCGGGCTGCGGGGGAAGCCAGGCTAAACCCACAGTCCGCTCTTGAGGGGTCCCCCACCCTGTTACGCGGCCTTTGGACCTCGTCGCGGGCTGGCAGGAACTGCGGCCTGGCTTGGGAGATCCAGGAGAGACAGACATGATCTGAGAGGCTGGAGGTCAGGCGTCTCTCTTCTGTCATGACCTCGCCCATCACGGGGCCTCACGTCCAGACTTGGAACTTGAGTCCGGAGAAAGGGTGGCTTCGTGTAGAACTGCCTTCCTTGGACAGGGTGACATTTTTGTTATGATCACACTAGACTGTGCCCACTTGGGTGGCAAGAGCACCGTGGACCCCACCGTGGGGCGGTAAGGGATGAGGGCGACCCTGGGAGATCGTGGACAGGAGCCTGTTTCCCTCCTCGGTCCCACTCTCCGGGGGGGTCCACTCGTCTGTGCATTTTGCAGAACTCCAGGTCACGTTGCCACACTCTTCTGATCCCTGAAACCCACTAGTTGTCCCACCTCTCTTCGTCGGGGCTTCCCGGTGTGTCCTGCTCTCTCCTGCTTCACCGTGACTCGGGACCAGCCCTCGGCCCAGATTTGGGTGTTTTATGCTTCTGTACAAACTGGGGAGGTACTGTCCTGTGCCTGCAAGAGTGGCCCAACAGAACAGATGAACTGAGTCCTCCCTGGGGCCTGACAGGGAGGGAACAGACCTCCGGGGCCTTGCTCCTCCATTTCTGTTACTTTCTGTAAACCGATTTTCTCACCCACCAAATAGACTCCCTTTCCATCCCCCCCGCCCCCCCTACCTTATCTCTTGGCAATTTTAAGGGTAATTAATGCAAGAACAGGGTCAGCCTCTCTTGGGAAGACAAGCTGACCAAACACAACACAGCCTTTAAGCCCGCGCGTGTCCTCGTGAGGCATAGGAAGGCCACGACAGGGGGACACGTCCTCTGAGGGCACATCTTCAGGTCTTAAGGATAAGGAACATGCATCAACAATCTTCTGAAAAGTTGGCATAAATGCGTAGTTAAGAAGCATCTTTTGAGGGCGCCTGGGTGGCTCAGTTGGTTGAGCGACTGCCGTCGGCTCAGGTCATGATCCTGGAGTCCCTGGATCGAGTCCCGCATCGGGCTCCCTGCTCAGCGGGGAGTCTCCTTCTCCCTCTGACCCTCCCCCCTCTCATGCTCTCTCTATCTCATTCTCTCTCTCAAATAAATAAATAAAATCTTTAAAAAAAAAAAAAAAAGAAGCATCTTTTGCTGTGCGGTACCTGAACCACCGAACCCAATGACTTGAATCCCAACACGTCATTTCCACGCACACACTTCAGGGTTAGGCTCTTCCCTCTGCCTCCAGTGTGAAAACTGAAAACCCCGTTTGTCCTGATTTCAAATATGTCCCCTGATCTTTCTGTCGGGATGACCTTTGCTATTCGGCTTAGTGCTCCAGTCTATTGGGAACGATGTTGAGGAAACCATTCTGCCTTTCCTTCAAATTCTTCTGACATTGGTCATAGTTAGAAGGCAGGAATCAGAAGGACCTGCCATTTATTTGACTGTTCTTACAGCGAACTCTGACCGGTATCTGTGGCAGCAGGATGGAGGCAGGGGGGAGCCCCAACTTAGCGGCACCCCTGCCCTGGGCCAGCCCCACCAGTGTGGCGGATGAGGCATGTCCCCGCAGCCCTGGATGATAGTTACGCAAGATGATTTTAGTTGATTTTTCTGAAGCTAATTAGCAAAGGATCGGGTTTTTCCATTTGTATCTTTTGAGAGGAGGGGCCGTAACTGTCATGGCAGTGGGTGTTGGCAGTTCATTCAAGTGTGTGTGTGTGTGTGTGTGTGTGTGATTTTTTAATGCTGTCCTTTTAAGTCCCAACAACAGGACAGCAATCAGCTGTATGAATGTTTTTAAGGCTGTATTTACACGATTGGGTGGAGGGCGATTAGCCATATCACCTTAAAGAATGACCCAAGGGCTTGTCACAGGGGTCACTTTTTTTTGAAGTGTCTCGTTTTGCAACTGGAAAATAAAAAGTGTATATTGGTGAAGACCATTTTAGTTTTTGAGCTCTACTGCTCTGCAGAAACGGATTGGAAAAGTCACTACCAGCTTCCTACTCTCGCTCACCACCCCTCCTCAGGCACTTCTCACACCCTCCCAGGCCCGCTGTCTCACACACCCCACCCCTGTCCCTTCAAAGAGCTGGCCTCCTGGCTCCTTGGAGACATTTGGATTTTCTCTCTGGAGAGAGACTGCCCCCTGCTGGTGTAGCCTCAGCTGTGGTCCAGAACCCCTCTCCATCAGGAGACTTGAAGATCAAGAATTTAAAAGTCAAGCTCACCATGATGTATCCAAGATGAGCTTGGGACCTGGGGTCTGCATTTGGAAGCCGTGGCCCCAAAGCCCTCAGGACGACTGGAGCCTCTGGGAGCCCAGCAGAGCATGCCCTCTTCCTCATGGGCCTCCCCCAGCCCCCTCCCACTCTGGGCCAGGCCCTCCTGCAGCACCCTTCCAACCAGCTGTCACTGCAGGCTGGTTTTGCTCAGACCCGCACCGCTACAGAATACGCAGAAGGAAACACAGAAGGGACCCTGAACTAAAAGCCCTTAAATGGCGGTGGCCGAAATCACTCTACAACATGCCTGGAGGTTGCACGGTAACATGGGATTTTTCTCCCCCCAAGTAGGCAACTCGTGCTTCCCGGGTGTAATCAAAGCATGTGCTGTTTCAGGGCCATATGCTCTGGGTTTCTATTTTGGAAGCTTTCAGCTGTCTTGCTTATGTACTGTATGTAAATTTATTCTTTTTAAAATAAAATCATTTTGTGTTTGATTATGACTCCTTTTTAAATGTTTCAAAGGCCAGTGTTGTGCTCCTTTGGATAACCACCCCCTCCCGAGACCTTTCAGGGTTCATTGGACCTGAGTTGAAAAGAGGTGGCAAGGGCGCCTGGGTGGCTCAGTTGGTTAAGCGACTGCCTTCGGCTCAGGTCATGATCCTGGAGTCCCGGGATCCAGTCCCGCATCGGGCTCCCTGCTCGGCAGGGAGCCTGCTTCTCCCTCTGACCCTCCCCCCTCTCATGCTCTCTCTATCTCATTCTCTCTCTCAAATAAATAAATAAAATCTTTAAAAAAATAAAAAAAGATTCCTCTCTTACTGATCCATTCACTGCAATATTCTTTTAAGAAGTGACTTATCCTTGGACGCCTGGGTGGCTCAGTTGGTTAAGCGACTGCCTTCGGCTCAGGTCATGATCCTGGAGTCCCTGGATCGAGTCCCGCATCGGGCTCCCTGCTCGGCGGGGAGTCTGCTTCTCCCTCTGACCCTCCTCCCTCTCGTGCTCTCTCTATCTCATTCTCTCTCTCAAATAAATAAATAAAATCTTAAAAAAAAAAAAAGAGGTGGCAAAAAGAAAGGACAGGCTATCGAATTCTCTGTTGCTGTCCCTACTTCAGTTGCGTACGGGTGTTGGTGACTGTCGTGGCCGCCATAGATGTGCTGAACAGGAAGTGGTACGTGTGCCTCCCCTAACTCCTTGATACTAAAAAGAATCATCTCACCCTAGTCAGAGACAAATGGTACTGTGTCGGAAAGTAAATGTTACTGGTGTTGCTGGTTAAGGTAACTAAAAGGTTTTCGTGAATGAGTCCACTGCTGAGCCAAATGAACATGACCCTATTTCATATTCACATGGTTACAATGCTATGCTCTATATTTAAGCATTCCAAATTTGCTATTTGAAATGGTACAGAGAGCTGACACTCATTGGCAAGGTCATAGCTAGGACCCTATTTGTATTTTTAATACCTGCTATGCTGGGTACCATGGACATGTGACGTTGGATGGGATCTAATCTGCCCTGTGGAGTTCTCCCGGGAGAGAGGAGACTCTGGCTTAGAGAAATGGAGAAGAGGAGAGGAAGGGGAGATTAATTCCTGCTTGAGGCCCACAGCAACTCAAGGCTCCGGGGAGAAGCAGTCCATGAGCCAGGCTTACAGAACAGATGGGGTTTGCACAGGGATGTGATGGGAAGTAGGAGATGATCCTCCAAGGTGAGGCACAGCTTGCCAGAGATACTTCCCCCAAACACCTGCAGCTCTTAGGAGAATCCAAACCAAACCCAGGTTGGCGACTGTGTGTAGGAAAACAGTGCTGGGACAAAGGATGAGCAAGGGGCTTTGACCCTGCAGAACCCAATCACAAGAACAGGAAGGAAGGGTGAGAAAGCCCCTTAGTCCATTTTGTTACGTCCACGTGGGACCATTCCAGAGGAGGTGACACGCAGAGGGGATTTCCTAGTCTCCTCCATCATCTATCATTCCCTATTCAAATATTAAGCAGTCCGCAGTGGGCACCTTCCCCTTCCACCATTTGGGACCTGGCCCCTCATGCACAGCTTCATTCCCGGGGCCACTTGTTCAGTGTTCAGCAGAGGTGACAGCTGCTAGGACCTCTGTCTGTGTCCTTGGTGCCCATTTCCCCTCTTCTCTTGGTTCAGTTCCCTGAACTTCTCCAGTGGAACTTGATTTTTTTTTTTTAAAGATTTTATTTATTTATTTATTTAACAGAGAGATACAGCAAGAGAGGGAACACAAGCAGGGGGAGTGGGAGAGGGAGAAGCAGGCTTCCCGCCAAGCAGGGAGCCCGATGAGGGGCTCGATCCCAGGACCCTGGGAACATGACCTGTGCCGAAGGCAGACGCTTAACCGACTGAGCCACCCAGGCGCCCTCCAGTGGAACTTGATTTAAAAGTATTTGACCTTGATCCTGGCTCTTTGAGAGACCTGTACCTGTGCTCACTCCCCCTCCCTCTACTATTGCAGAATGAAGCCCCTGTTCTCTAATAAGAGGCTAACCAGAACCAAGTGGTGTAGATGTATCTAGTTTTAGAGGATAGATGTTTTCCTAAAAGCTGCCTGTTTTGATTTTTCTTTTTAACTTGAATTTTAAGTGCACCCAGGGGTTTGCTGTTCATAAATAGCATTTTTAATCATATGGCAATTCTTCATTTCTGTAAACATAAGGCTCTTCAATGGATTCCTTGGGATACGCCATGTGTCCATTGTTTTCTTAAAGTGGGGCACACCTGTAGTACAGACTTGACTATTTACAGGATGCATATGAAGAAGAATGAGAGTTGAATGTGGACCATGAATAGAATGTTAAATTCTTAAAACTGTAGCCACATGAGACAGGGAGCTCTATGAAGCCAAAAATCCTTTTTCCTTTTCCACGCCTGTCTATATGGCATGCAAAAACAAACAAGAAAAGCAAGGATGCAGCTAGGAGTTCCGGCTGTGACGCTCCTTTCATGCCCACACTCAACACATCTGCTGGCCTTGCTCTTCCCTGCTATGACAGCGGGGTCCCCTTGCTGGGATCACGAGCCAGACTCTTCCCCAGTGGAGGTGTTCAAAGACTGTCCGTGCCTCTTGACAAAGCTAGCCTCAAATGGCTGAGGCCAGGACAGGGGGCCGGCGGCGGCTGCCTTCGGGCCCTGGGCCTGCATCTGCGATCCGAAGGGGCTGAGGCCTCCTGGGATTCGGGTCTGCAGTGTCTCTCGGTCACTTGGCTGGAAAGCTATTTTTGTGGTGGGGGGGAAAACCATAGCTTAATGTCAATTTTTCATGAAGTCAATTCTGCTGTTACTACATAGGCGTTGGTACTATTTTTTCACTTTATTCCTTTATCTCCTAGGTTTTGTCTCTAGAAGGTGAAAATCTGTATCTTCTATCAACGTGTTCATCTGTCCTCTAGCATTTTGGACAAATGGACTACAGTTACAGTAATATCCTCCCTAGTAATTTTATCATCTCTGCCCTGTCAGTTTCTGATTCATTGTTTTTTTTCCCTTCCACAATATTGGTTGTATTTCCCAGCTTCTTGGCTTGCCTGGTCATTTTTGATTGGATGCCAAATACTGTGAATTTTACATTGTTGGGTGGTGGATATTCAGTAATACTATATTCTTAAGCTTTGTTCTGGGATGCAGTTCATTCCTTGCAAATAGTTTCTTCGGGTCTTTAAGCTTTATGAGGCAGAACTAGAGCGGTGCTTAGTCTAGAGTTGGTTTTCTCCACTACTGAGGCAAAATCTTTCCGGGGCTTCTCCCCATTGCCTTATGATTTCTGAGGTTTTCTAGCTCTGGCTGGCCTCAGTGAGCTCCAGGCATGGTTCCTTCAGTTCCTTCCGTTCTCTGTGGATGGTTAGAGGCGGTCTCCTCTGTCACAGACGGTGCCCTCACGTGCACAAGCTGACCGGTACTCACCTCAAGCCTCGGGGGTCTTTGCAGACAGGGGTTATGTCCAGTGACTTCCTGAAGGCATCTCTCCTACGGGGACCCTCTTTTCCCTACCGTGCAATGTGTTCATAGGGTACCTTTCCATCTGGCTGA